TGATTTAAATCCGACCAGATGTACTATGATGATGTAAATAAAATTTTTGCCGCAAAAATAATCACGAAAAAAGCTTTTATTTACCGTTTGTCTATCATTCGATGCTTTCTACGTGCCTTTGTTGTGTATTGAAATCAAACGATCAAGCAAGAACGGTTTATGTCAGGCTGATAGCGAGCAGAAAGTTCCTGACCTACCGGAGTATTGGGCTTTCTTTGCACGTTCCACTTCTATTGCAAGCAAATCAGGACGCGAAAGACGGGAACGAAACTTGGAGGACGCTTAAGCTTTGCCTCTAAGAGTGCAACGCGATAAGCGTGTCTTGCGTGGCCTACACTCTAAAAAACGCCCGTGCGTCTGCTTTCCCGCACAACACTCGGAGAGCCAATCACCGACACTTACGGAGGCAGCTCGGCGAATGACGATGCCGAAAACCAAAAACGCAGTCTGAGTTGTGACATTGGGCAATGCAAGCGTGACGTTTTGCATTGCTTAGTGTCACGACTCAGACTGCGTTTTTTCGTCTAAACATATGTTTCGGCATCGTCATTCGCCGAGCTGCCTCCGTAAGTGGCGGTGATTGGCTCTCCTAGTGTTGTGCGGGAAAGCAGACGCACGGGCGTTTTTTAGAGTGTAGTCAGTGGCGTGTCTGGCTCGCTACCGAAATAAAGTAATTCCCTTGCCTTAAATAAAAATGCTTCAAATTTTTATTTAAGGCAAGCGATTTACTTTATAGAATGAAATCATTTGAGATATGCGGCGACTTTTAGTTCGCATTACATGTCATGTTTTTATCACTTTTATTCCAGCGTGACGTTACGTTTCACGTGAGCGTTGTCGGTTGTTTGAAATTCCCGCGTGAGGTCATGTGGCTGTGACGTCATGACCCGTCGACCCATCAGGATTTTTGCGTCACGCCACTGACGCCGGCTTTTCTGCGACACGAGCTACTTAACCCTCTCGCGTTAAAAACTAGAGTCTTACTGCAAGCAAATCCGAACGAGAAAGAAAACAAATCAAGCTTTTTAGCTAACTAGATAATCAAGCTGTTTTTGTTCTAGTATGGCGGGCGGGAGTTACGTGAATAAGATGTTGGTACACTATGAACAGAAAGTTAGGGCGCAGACGAGCTGGTGGTAGTTGAACAAAGTAAAAACACCCCGAGACAGGGAAAAAGAAAGAACGGACAAACACAGATGAATTTATTTGACAAAGTTGGTAATGATATAGCCTTCAAGAACCCATACAAACACGCACACACAAAAAAAAACGAAGGAACGAAAAAAAAAAGTATTTTCGTTCCTTCGTTTTTTTTCGTTTGTATGGGTTGTTGAAGGCTATATAATGTTTTGTAATACAAATTCAGCTCTGCTTGAGACCTTTGTGTTTGTTCCTTACTTTCTTTTTTCTAGTCTGGGGGTGTTTCTGCTACGGTAAACTATGCATTATATTTGCAGTAATTGTTTTCTTCCGCATCGTTTTCAGTGATGGGACGGATTGATAAATCAATCTTTTGTGTTTAAACTAAATGAAGGGAAAGAACCATTATTTTCTTGCTGCATTGATTTGAATCAAATAAATCTGATTTAAATCAAATAAATATAATTTATTTTATTAAGAAAAAATTATAATTTTTCTTACCTTGAAGGGTAGTAAATGGATTACAGCAATTGAATTACTGTAATTTAATTACTTTTTAATCATTAATAATCGTACTTTTGACAAAACATAATCGAAATTGTAATTTAATTTTCATTATGACCACGGTAATTTAAAATTGTTTCCACTGGAGCTTCGTTCTATGACCCACTGAGAGGTCAAAATAGATTAAAGTCTGTCTCATACTGCACCTTTTTCAAGTCGTGGTGCTTTGAGAGCGCCGAGACTGCGCCAGGTCGCTTACCCTGGACACACTGCTGAGCAAATGTCAGTCACAGCACCCGCAGAGGGGGCGACAGTACATGCCCCACATAGATCGAGAGGGCGTTCAATGGTCAGAATGAAGCAAACGAATCAAAATGATGGGATTGGGACGAGCAGATTGTATATTCGAGCCTCAGTTAGATTTTGTCAGTTATTACTATCACTAATAATTCCATTGACTTAAACTATAAGGATAAAAAAGAGCACGAATAATCTTGGTGGTGCTGCAAAATAATGAAACGGTTGACCCGTATAACTTCAGAACTCAGCTCCAATATTACTTAATAATGAAGCCAGTGAAACAAAGACACACAATGTGACGTATGTAAAACGTCATAAACATATATTGTATCCTTAAAGTGGCTCTGCAAGGACTTTTTTTACTGGTTTTTAATTTGCACCGAACCTGAGCGCACTGAACGTAGTAACTTAATGAAACTTTTCTTTTCTCAAATTTCGCTTTATTTTAAAAGTTATAGGCCAATTAAAGTTACAAAAACAAGCAAAAAATAACCTCCTTCATGACGTCCTTGGCCGCTTGAGTGGCCGTAAACTAGAGGAGGGGTAGTGAGCTCAGCGAGCGCTCACGGCTGCCCCACTCCTTGTCGACGACTCGAGAAGGCGCCACTAAAGCATGTTCCGGATAGGCGGTATAAGCGGGCAGCCAGGGCGGTTCGCATTGCATTAGCTGCGTGATTAAACGCTAATTCGGCATGACACTTCATTGGCCACAAACGAAAGCAAACACGGGGTAAAGATCAATTCAGAACGAGAGCCATTTCGCGCCGCCATACCACGAAACGGCCAAACCGCAAGCCAAAGCTGCTCGCCGAAGGCCTTCGGAGCGCTGGGAACCCGTCAGATCCTCCACTGCTTACGACCGCGGCGCCGCCGACTACATCCGGGACCTTCCTACACTCGCCGATCGTCGGTGCCTGATCCCACTACACCTTTCTAGTAAGCGCCGCCTTTTCCACCGCTTGGTGGCGGATATGTCGACGGGACATTTCTTGTTTCCGTCCTTTATAAACTGCATTAGTTTCTTTTCTGATCTCAAATACTGAACGAAAACTTCGTTTATAAACGATTGAAACGGTTCGCGCCACTCATATTTTGTATTTCGACAAAAAATAAGCTTTTAGCGGCTCTGACCAGTAGTAAGCCCAGGACCAAAGACGTACGTTGGGAAAGAGACACCGGAAACGAACCATAACGCCCAACGTCTCCAATCCTTACGCAGGATGGGGCTGCAACTAACAATGTGACTTAGGTCGTATATCAGTAAGTGACCATAAATGGATGATCAAATCTACAAAACTATAAAGTGCGAAAAAAGGAATTTCTATCTAAAGTAGTGCTTATTACGTTTAGAGAAAACTAATGAAACTCGGAATTTTAATTGGCCGTGCACCGAAATGTCCGTGCACCGCAATGTTTGTTCACCGAAAAGTCCGTGCACAGAAAAGTTCGTAAATCGAAAAGTCTGCACCGAAACGTCCCACACAGTAACGCCCTACAGCGAAAAGTCCTAGACCCTTGCAAAACCAATAAACAACGAGAGATAATTTTTTATCCAAACTATTGACAGTGGTCCTGCGTTTGCAGCCGGAATTAGACCATGGAGCTTTTGTCTTCTATTTTAAGGTGTAATATTTGCTTTCGTTTTCAGATGCTATGTATATATAAATAGATTTTTTTTCCTCTTAGAGGGCATTGTGCATGCCACATCTTCCGCATCTTTCCCGCGTCTTTCCATTTTTACATTTTTCTTTGAATTGAGTATAGTTGTCCCTTCTGTGGTCCATCATTCTTCTGTACTAAACCCCACTTCATTTTGTTGTTGTTGTTACGGGCAGTCCGCTCTCTTGTGTGTCCTACTATGTGTCTCTACTTCTATCCTCCCTTTTTCGTTTTTTTAAAGCAACATCAATGTTTTAGGCTGGACACTACTGTTCGGCCTATATGTGAAACCCTTATCTGCCATTACTTTGTGTTTCAGTCCCCGCGTGACCATCCGACCCGTTTCCACAACCCCCGTCGTACCTTCCTGTTTGAACTGTAGACTCCTCCCGTCTCGTGTGCCCTTCCGAATCCACGACTACAAACCTCATATCGTCACTACTTCCAGTTTAATATAGGAACCCCTTCCGTACTTTTGTATCAATACCTCCCGGATTCAATTGTAACACATGGTTAAATAAATTTAAAAAAAAAATCTTGCTCAACGTCATTGGAAACTTCTAAATCAGTCAACTTTAGGGAAGATCGTGGGAGGAGTGCGGATGCCCTACAGTTTCCACTCGTACAGCAGGCGCGAGCCCGGCGATGCTAAAGCGCGAATGATATTATTATCATCCGCATTTCTGCACCGCCAGTCACGTGCTCGCCCTCGCGCTTCATACGTGCCAGTCTTCCTAAAATTGACTCACTTAGATGCTTTTGATGACTCTCAGCAGGTTTTTAATTGAAACCATATGTTTATATCCACTGATTAAAAATCGTGAGTCATATTAATTAACAATTTAGCTAATGAGAACGTTCCTTGTAATCCCGGACGTCCGTCGTAGCTAACAACTTGTTCCCGAGAAAAAAAATTTTTTTTTTCAATTATTTTATTGATAGAAATGTTTTTAAAGCCTTCGATGAAACACGTGTATAAGCATGCTTATTAAAGACAGCCCCGCTAATTTGTTTTTTACTTTCCCGAATTGCGACTGATTCGGAGACTAACTAAAACTTCCAGATGTGTAGTATGAACAAATTTGTTTCATTACAAATTTATTTGACCTATAGACATGATTCTAACACGATTCTAGTTATAATCGCGTGAATGTAGTAATGTACACATAACAACACCTCACTTTGTTTTAACTGCAACGACGCTTTCTGGCGGAACCTTGCAATGGGAAGAGGCTACTGACACGATAAGGAACAAACGCGAGTATGGCGCTTTTGACAAACGTCTGACAGCCCCGCTAAAACACTCGCAGACAACATCCTAGCGTGGAATAAGCTTATGCTTTTTTTTTCTTCTTTTTCTTTCGATGAACGCGCAACAACACTGCTGAAGCACTCACAGATCCTTGACTTGACCGCGCCACGGACCGTGCATGTTTTCCCGCGCTGCGAGTGCGAGGGAACTTCGACTGGGGCCTAGGCGTCGCTCCGTTTCCTCGAGTGCGTCAATACCTGTACGTTTCCTGGTCACCCGCCGACCCCGATAACGTCGAGCTCCGAGTCAACATGCGCAGAGACCCGACAGGCCGCGGTATTTAGGGAGTTTTCGTAGACCGTTCTTTTCCCTCCACTAGGCTCTCCGTAACGAAGACGCCACTACTGCGCACGCGCACCGCTAGCCTAGTCTCAACAGTTGCGCATCTCGAAGCGGGTTGCGGAAACAATTGCGAGACGGCAAAAACGATCTACGAAAGCTCCCTAAAGGCGCGTTCACACCGGCGATGGAAAGCAGTCGCACGATGCGACTAGATCGCATCGCGAAAAGATCAGATGGTCACACTGGCGTGCGCGATGAGCTAGTCACTTCTCGAAAACTCTCGCTCCGAACGCTGCTGATTGGCTCAGCCACTTCGGGACTCGATCGCATAGCGAAAAGTCGGGTTAGCTAGCGTGTGCTCAAATCGCGTCGCTTTTTTTCCGCGATGGTCGTTTTTGCGATGAAAGTTATCGCGCGACTAGATCGCATCGCCGATGTGAACGCGCCTTAACACTATGGTGCCGGGAACCTGTTTCGACCGGTGTGTTTACCTCGTCCAAAAAGCGCTCTCTCGATTTCCGCCCGATGACGGCATACAAGTGTCATGCTGTCGCCGGGCGCGACCCTGGCGGTGTCACAGCAGCGTTTGTGGATGTGGCAGACGCCTGTTCTGGAGCAGGTCGCTCTCCAGTGTGGCAGTCCGCGGAAGCTTCGGCAGCCAGGGGTTAGGACGCCCCGAGTGACACTCGCGTTTGCTCGCGCTTTTTGCCTGAAGTTCTACGACCAACCGCCAGGATCGCGACATCGAACAGCGTAACACTCCAGCTTTTGTGACGTCATTTGTTGCACTTTGGGGCCACTTTCTACGCATGGGCGGAATAGGACGCTAAACACACCAGTCGGAGACGGGTTAAAGGCGTTATGCTCACACGCAACCATTAATCAAAACGTTTAGAATAGTAACAATTACAGAACACTACACTTACAAACTTCTCGCATACCAAATGTATGCCAAATAAGATCAACTTGTCTTTTTTTCTATTGCTGATATAAAGCCAAAGGTGTCTATACTTTGTGTCACTAGTTTAATGCAGTGCAGGCGAAGGGAACGCGAAGAGAAGAGAGAAAGGTTGAGGGCTAGGAAGGCAGGACGGGAGAGGAGGGCAGTGGAGGCCAAGAGGAGAAAGGAAGAGCACTGCGAACGTGATAGAGGAGAGGAGAATGTTCTCCGCCTCCCAGCCTTCCGAGTGCTTGCACTTTCTCCCCTCGCCTTGCGTGGCCTTCGCCTGTACTGCACGCAACTGGTGACAAGCCGTTGTGTTGAGGCTTGGTCAACGCCACGCTCAAGGACAAATTATGGCCTCCGAAGGATGAGACTATCTTCCAAATGTTTTGAACAGTATGAAAGGATGTGAAATAAATGGCACGAGCACGTCCAGAAAAAATTACAAATTTTCGGTTTTTGTTTCGCTAGATCTAGCCTAGGTTAATTTTGCTTCAGAAGGTCCTCGGTGCAAGTGATATTTTGTGTTCACTGTGTCGGTTTTTTTAATTCTATGTTCGTCAGACTGCTACCGTGGCTAGTGCTCTGCTTCGGGGTTTTCTTGTCATGTAAGCCAGTGCGCTTCTAATTTTTGTGTGAGTGCTCTTTAAAATTCCAGTACTCTGTATAATATTGGTTTTCTCCGTTGCGGGTGGGAAGGAGAAAATTAGTCAAGCAACAGCTTGTTTAGCCCAGCAGCTTAGCCAAGCACTGCCTGCTTTATTTTCTACCCCCCCCCCCCCCCCTCTCCACTGGAGGGAAACAATGAAGTTGAAAGTACTTTTACCACCCAAGATTTCCATCTAGGTGCGAGGGAAAGAGGGTATAACGAGAAGGAGGGTGGAAAATAAAAAAAAAATACTGTGATTTGAATCGGGATTTAAATCAGACAAGTTGTACTAGCTTGAAATAAAACCTTTTCCGCCAAAATAGTCCCGAAAATATATTTTTATTTACAGCTTGTCTACTATTCGATGCTTTCTATGTGAATTTATTTGGTTTTAATTGAAATCAAAGAATCAACAAGAAATAATTGTCTTTATCAGGCTGAACACGAGTAGAATGAAGTGTTCTATTGAACAAACCGAAGCGCTGAAGTTGATTTCTACCTTCAACTTTGTTCTTCAGGTACTTTACGTCCTATTGCAACTTAAGCAGAGCGGAAAAGGAAGACACGAACACTATAAGAGTCATGTCCTACTGCAACCAAATCAAATCACAAAAAACAAGTGAAATTTTTTTTTAACTAATGAGAAAAATTTAAATCAAGCTTTTTTTATTCTAGTTTGGCGGGGGATTGCAGCAATAAAAAGTTGTTAATTAAATTGTACCTCACATTTACTGTGGTTCTTTCATTTGTTATCAGTGATCGGACGAATTTATGAAACAAGCTGCCATGTTAAAAGTTACTGGTAAACAATCACTATTTCCTAGATACAGGGATATAAATCAAATGTTATTTAAAGCAGTGTGTCGAACCGAAAAAAATACGGGTTCGGTTACGGTTCAGGTTCAGGTAAATTAATTTTGTTCCGGTTCAGTTCCGGTTCGATTAATTCGATCCGCGAACCGGTTCGGGGCGCTGAACCGGTTCGCGAACCGGTTCGGAAATTATAAATGACAAATTGCAACATCAAAATAAATTACAAATAAAACATCTGAAATCATCACATACGAAACGGGATACATCGTAGTGTAAGGCTCAGGGATTTCTACCAGGAATGGTTTCTTTATGTGCACTCAAAGGTTACCTCACCGACGTTTACGCATTCGGACTTCATCTAATTGGGTCCGACGCAGTAGCTGTAAAATCCGCGACCTCCTTACAAACCCACTTACAAGTAGAACTCGCTAACTATCCCGCCACCTCGGCGTGTAAGCAATTGAAGGAACAGTGGGGAGAAAATACAGCTTTCTTTATTTGAACTAGCCTTCGGTAACTCAAATTAGACCCTTAAAGAAGTTTTCATTAAACAAGATACGGAATATGAAGAACACTTCACCGAACGCAACGCCAGAAGGACGTAATAGGATAAATATTAAAATAGAAGAGTTCGCTGTCTCACAAATATGTTAGCTTCTAAGTGCCTATACGAAACCGGATGCATTATTATCAAACTCAACAGCCTTTTCTTTTCTCATTCCGATGGAAGCAAGCTTCAAGAACTCGCGCGTTCTAGAAACGTGTTATGAAATGAGCACACAGCAGCATTTAGGATTTACGAGATTGTAGAAAAATGAAATCCCGTGACGCGATATTTTTTTTTTTTTTTGCACAGCCTTCCAATTTTCTTTCTTCCATGCAAGCCGCGACCAGCGCAATACTGGTTCCTATGTCAAGATTCATGGATGCAGCGTTTGTCAAGATTCATGGATGCAGCGTTTACATTCCTAAGACTGAGTGGAGAAGAAAAATATGTAAGCGAGGTGTGTGTCAGTTGACGGCACTTAAAAAACAAATGGCATTGATAGCACATTCATTGTCAACAGCGCGTGGCCGAACCGTTTTGACATGAGCCGGTAACCGTTATTTTTTTTCCCGGTTCAGTTCCGGTTCGGGTTCATCGCGATAACAATATAACGGTTCGGGTTCGGGTTTAGTTCCGGAAAAAATACCGGTTCGGTTCCGGTTTTCGGTTCGGTTCGGTTCCGGTTCGACACCCTGATTTAAAGAAAATAATTTTGATTTATTAAATTATTTTTAATCTTTCTTTTTTATCATTATTTGAAGCAATAAAGACAGCAAATTGTTAGGCTTTTAGTACTTCCGACTTGTAAAGGGCTTTGCTGCAACTGCACTTACTGCGAGTGTTGGAAATATCGCATGACCTTTGCCTGAGAATACTATAGCAGAAAAAAATCATTTGAGTGTCCAGAAAATCAGGAAAATGCTTTTATTTTAGCATTCTCTCGCTGACGTTGCTGAACAGTAAAACAGATTTACAAGAAAGAATGTATACCGCGTTTGACATGCTCAATTATAGCAGTAAAGTGATAACATTATTTTTTTCATGTAAACTGCTTTCATTATATGGAGGGTTGGTTAAATGGACCCTGATCTTTAATAGTGGGCTTGCCATAGAGGATAAATCGGGGCGTCGGACGGTGGAAACAGTTTGGTAAGCGTGCATTTATCACTCCAGTTCGGTGTGGGACGCTGTTACCTATACACGTTTTGTCTTCGGGACTCTTGCGTACCAGGTGAATTTACACTATACCTTCTGTTACACGAGTATACGAGATATACGCGATTTAGAGGCACTGCGAAAACCCCGCGTTCCAAAGATTTGAATCCTGGCCTATCGGGTGGAGGCTTTTGTAAACCTCTTGAACGGCTCGTTGTTCCCTAAGCCGTATTTTCTTACATTTATTTCTTCATTGTTATGGCTGGTTACTTACAGCCACGCTTGTTGCTAAATATATCGAGATCGGGTATGACGTTGGGACTTAATGATTTTGATATGAACGGCACGTTCTACACTGTGTGCTCCACATGATATAATTTCCGCATTCATTATTCTTCTATAGTCCCTCTCATGTCGGTGACACATGTCACCGATATGGATCCTGGCGGAGAGTTTCACCTAGAAGCAACCTTGCATCATAGTCTCCCGCAAACGCCCTAGGGGACCTTGCCGATGTACGGTCGGGCCGATTCCTTCGCTCCATACATCCTGGCGAGATTCCTTCTTTCTCTCTATTGCGTGTTCACAACAGAAAACAGGATAAACACATAGCAAAGTCACTACGCACACTGTTCTGTCATCGTCCTGCCTCCCGTAAGTTCTAAAATCGCAAAATGCTAAATTAACAGGAACCGCTTCCTGCATCTATTTATGAACGCTTCTTTGCGCACCGGTCATCGAACTTCTGTAATACTTCG